TAATTGTTCCAACACCATACTAATCTCTTCTCCTTATTTACATCTCTTACAAGCTGGCAGTATTTGGGTCTTGTTGCAACCCAGCCTAGCTTCTTTCTCCCTCTTTTGATGGTTGGCTTTGACAATTTGAGGGTCAGCCACTTTTCTGTCAAAAGTTCTAACAGCTTGGTGGAATTAGCCTTGTCATTCTCTGTCATAGCATTGTCAATGAATCAGGGTTGGGGCGAAGTACTAGGGTACTTATACTTAAGTCCAATAAGTACAGCTTCCTCGGGTACTTGTACTTATACTTAAGTCCAGTCAAGTTAAACATGCTGTACTTATACTGATACTTTAGCAATAGAGTGTGTGCTTAATGTACTTAAGGTACTTATAAGTACTTTTAAGTATTTTGAAGTACATGTACATGTATATATATTACAAATCTACAATGAGATGTTACGGTACACAACACATACACTAAGCAGGTGTAAATACAAATACATTAGTGCATTAGTACCAAGACTACTATCAGTTATGTATAGTATGTACTGCATAAGTAACTGATCACAGGGCATGCACATGCTGGTATCACATGCTTCACTACTTCTGTCTTCTTTGGGTTTGAGTTCTATCTTCTTCAATCTCATTATGGCTGAGAGTTCTGTTTCTGCTACTAAGCACCCCTCTGTTTTAGAACACTTTATTGTCCCTGAAACACTGCCGCCTGGTGACTTTAAGGCTAAATGTAGGTATTGTAAGCCAGAGAAATATATCATTGCTTCAGTAAAGGTCACTACTAACTGGTGGAAACATCTTGTAAGTTATTGAGCCTTTAGACTAGTGTCCTTTGTTATTTCTATTATACACATATATTATAAGTGCTTTTTTTATAGAAACGTAGTCATCCATCTAAACTTAAGGAAGAAGAAGACCCTCAAATGACATTGGATTACTTAATTAAAACCCCTGCTAAGAAGTATGACCCAAAGAACATTACACAGATATCTGGAAATGATGCTCTCATAGAATTCATTGCAGGAGATTTGATTCCACTTTCTGTCGTGGATAGCACAAACTTTAAGAAGTTCATTGAGATTCTTGATCCAAAGTACCAAGTACCTAGCCAAAAACATCTTTCAAATGTTCTACTAAAGAAGAAGTATTCTGTAGTTAAAAATAAGGTAATAGAGAAAGTATCAAAGGCCACTACTATAAACCTTGCAATTGACCTTTGGTCAAATCGTCAAATGAAATCTTACCTTGGCATTACAGGTCACTTTATCTCAAAACAGTGGGAACTAGAGTCTGTCATGTTGGGATGTAATCGGGTAATAGGAAGACATACTAGTGACAACATATTGTCCTGGTATGAAGAAGTTGTTGCTGAGTTTCTCCTAAGCACTAAAGTTAGGCATATTGTGACTGATAGCGGGTCAAACATTAGGAAAGCTTTTTGCAATTTAGCACTACCAGGATTCGATCTCTCTGTACATGCTGATGAGGAAGACGATACTGATGATGAAAATGAGGATGATTCTGTCTCTGTCAGTCACTCTCTGGAAAGTAATGTTGTACTTGATCACCATGCATGTTTTGCTCATGTGCTACAATTGGTTATAAAAGATGGTTTAGCTAAAATAGGCCATATTGGCACCATTCTAAAGAAGTGCTCAAATCTAGTATCATTTGTAAGAAAGTCAACTATAGCAACTGATGTATTAATAGGAGAAGCAAGATTACAAGCTTCGAATATAACAAGATGGAACTCACAATTGAAAATGATACGTTCCATTCTGAAAGTTCCTGATTCTAAGCTTGCTGAATTAGAAGATGCCCCTATTCTTACTGCACATGATAGAAATATCTTAAACGATATGGTAGAAATACTTACGCCATTTGAAGAGGCAACAGACACTGTTCAAATTTCCTGCATTCCATCTGCAGGTTATATTCTACCATGTGTTCGTGGATTAGATCATCATATGAAAGGAATGATTTTGAAGTATCATTCTACCTTTGTGCAGGCACTTAAATCGTCATTACGAAAACGCATGGCATATTATGAAGAACAGGAGGCTTACATTGTAGCAGCTATACTAGACCCACGTTCAAA